ATTTCTTGCTGAACAATGTGGAAATGAGAATTAAACTCTTTCGCAACCGAGATCCCTTTTACTCTCATGTCTACGGCTGGCACAGAGCGCATCAAATTTTAGACGCGACTCTTTACATCCGAAAAGTAGCCTTTTCCCCTTTCCATTATGCTGGCTCACGCCCAGGCCCTTGAAAAAGCTCCTGCCAGTACCTGTCAACAGAGTAGATATCAAGACAGTCACCATCACACGGGGACTGCGAGAAAAAAATTTGGACAATTTTTTATGAACCAACTCCCCCAAAAAATCATATTGGCTTTGTAGACAATCGAGCCTTAAATGGAGATTACGTCCGTAACGGTTTTAATTTCCAACTTTTTAATATAAATTACCTGAGTCTCATGGTGGTGGCCCCCCGTCCCCTCCCAACCCCTTACCCCTAACTTCGGCAGTGGCCTGTACATGGAATGCTACAAACCCTTTTCTGTGGAACAGGAATACACTGGAAGACGAAGGAAAAATATTAGTTACTCAGATTACCCTGGGGGGAAACCCCTTCTTCTGTTCGATTTGTCTCCTGACCTTTCGGCCAGCGAGCCCCACTGGAATCTCCAAAAAGCAAGGCACTCTTAAAAGGGAACTCAAGTTCGCAGAGCCTCTTGCCCAACCTATAAATTGCATTGTGTATGCTGAATTCCAAAATCTGATTGAGATCGAAAAAACACCGAAACGTCGTCTTTGATTACAACGTCTAAAATGGACGGACTCACATTGGACACGCTCATGAAAAAAGATAAACATGTTCCCCCTTTTTCAAAGGGCGTCTTTGCCTCACACGCTCCCCCGACATCTCCACAAAGGGCCAGCTTTATCATTGCTAACACTGATCCTATTTCAAAACCAGGTCAGCACTGGGTTGCTTTTACATTGGCGAAAATGGGGGGGGAGAGTATTGGGACTCGACGGCATGCCTCCTCTGGTTCCAAACCAAAAAAAATTTCATAACAGGCTCTGTAAGAAATGGCATATAATCATACTAGTCTTCAGGCTTTGAGTCAGAAGTGTGTGGCGAGTATTGCGTGCTGTACTTATTTCACAGAGCCACGGCATCTCGTTTCATGTTTTCTTAAAAAGTTTTTTACTTCTGTTTCAAAAAAAAACGATCAAGTTGTTCGACGTCTTTTTAAACGGAGTTTGGGTACAAAAAACCCTGCATCCTTCCCTCAGACTCAAACGTACAACTAAGTAGCAAACGAAAAATTTAAACATAAAAAATTTTAAAGAAACAAATTTTTTTAAAAAATTTAAAAGAAAAAAAAAAAAAAAAAAAATTAAAAGAAAAAATTTAAAAGAAAAAAATTTTTAAAAAAAAAAAATTTTCAAAGAAAAAATTTTAAAAGAAAAAATTTTTTAAAAAAAAAAATTTTTAAAAGAAAAAATTTTTAAAAGAAAAAAAAATTTAAAAAAAAAAATTTTTTAAGAAAAAAAAAAAGAAAAAAGATTTAACTTGCACAGTTTGACTTGTTCGGAGACGGTATAAAAGGGCGGCGCACAGAGCCCCATCATCATTTGACACGATGGAGTCACTCAATTCATCTCAAATACTGAACCAGAAGGAGCTGGTCGCCTCTCAAGCCCCAGACTCATCCGATCTGGAAAAGAGGCTTTCTCCAAGACGAGTACGTCTTGACGAGATAGAGGAGTTCTACCTGGAGAAGGAGTGGTTGGTCCTAAAATCACAGACCACCTCACAGGAAAACTCAGGGGCACCTTGGTCACTATACCGCATGCAGTCCCACTTTATTCATTACATCATGCTGCGGGGTAAGCCCTTCATTCTCATTGAGAGGGATGCCAATTCAAGGAGGTGGATGGGGTGCCACAGTTCAGTCAGACTTTTTTGGCTGACTGCTTGGACGTCTTCCTCAAACTTGGCATGACCGTTTTCGAAGTATTCGCGGTCCAGCGGATGACATTGAATGGTGCTGATTCCCCCACCCCCCACCCCCCCACCCCCCTTCCCGGGTGCAGGGAGATGCTGGTTAGGCCCATAACCTAAAATACATTGTTAGTGTGCTCAAACACACATAGCCGGAATAGCTCAGACGGGAGAGCGTTAGATGAAGATCTTAAGGTCCCCGGTTCGATCCCGGGTTTTGGCAGATATTTTTTCCCTCACGGCCCGGCCCGGCGCGGTTCCCCCACTCCCGGCGGCGGCGCGAACATTCAAAAAGCGGCGCGGAACGGTGCGGCCGCGACAGTGCGTTCCCGGCGGTCCCCGGCACAGAGCTTTCCCCGGACCATCGCGGGGACAAGACCAGACTGCTTAGGTTGACTTAGGTTAGGTCCGCCCAAGATGGCGACTTAGGTTGGGTTAGGCCCGCCCAAGATGGCGGCTAGGCTGGGTTAGGCCCGCCCAAGATGGCGGCTCAGGGGAAGGGGGGGGGGGATGTCAGAATGTGGAACCAAGATGGCGCATGTCAGAATGTGTCACCTTACTACTTCTGTTGTAGACCAGAGAATGGGGACTTGAAGCATTTCTTGCGGGCGGAGTCCAATGACGGCCCCCAGCCTTACTGATTTGATACTACGCCCTCCAAGAAAGGTCTGCCTCGACGCCTTGCTGCACGACTCAGCCGTTACGGACCTCTTGCGGCGGAATCCCCGCCTCCATTTCCGCGTGCAGTTCAATGCCCTTGCCTGGTGTCGTCATTGTTGTGGTGCGGCTCAGACTTTACACGGGGCAGGTCGCGCTAGCGGCACACTGCAGGGAGGCTGGCGGCCCTGCAGACTGCCGCCAGACTGCTGGCTGAGACGCCGGCATTCCGGGCATCCGATGGCCGTCTGTTCGGCAACAGTTCATTGCGTAAATTTTCTGTTCAATTTGTCATTGTTTTATTCGGTTCTGTGACCTCCAGCACCTCTCATAACTTGTACTGTATTTGTTAACTTTTTTTGAGAGCTATATTTTAACATTTTCAGACTTGGTAGGAAATTTGAGGAGACCCGGGACTTGTTCTTGTTAGAGTTCCGATCTGTATGAGGTCCAATTATTTTTTCATTTAATGTATGCATGTGAAATTTTTTATTGACCCACTCCTTCACATGGTTAAATCGTTCAGCACACACACACACACACCAGTAACTTTTGGGTTTCCCAGGTCGGGCTGGAGAAGAGCTGGACGTTTTGCAATCTTTCTCAATTTGGACTCTTATTTACTACACTCATGGACAAAATTAAGGGGGCACACCAGGGAAAAAGCAGAGGTTTCGAAAAATGATCATTCTGAGAAAAAATAACCAATGTATTCGATTGATATTTTTTCTTGGCTCAAAAATTTTGTGGAAGAAAAAGGAAAATCAGTATGGGAGGGTGAGGTGCGATGGCAAGATGGAGCGCCAGTGCACTTCATTTTTCTGCGACCTTGCTTCACTCCTGCCACGATTCCGCCTCTCTGGATTGAGCCTCGAGCACGGGATTTGAAATTTCTCAACAGGACACATGTGGCTATGGTCTGAACCACGGGCATGAAAAAGGAATGATTTGAATTGGTGTTTTCAGAAGCACAAATTAATACAAATTTTTAACCAATTTTTTCGCATTTAATGCGGCAGCTCACGTCCTATTTAAGGGATGGCCATTTCCAAGGTTCAGACCGTAGACACAAGTTTACCGAACATTTTGCCGCAAACCGCATTCAATTATCTAAATTTTTGCGCTCGTGAGAGTGGCACAAAGGTACAAAAAAGGTGTTTTGAGAAAAAAGCCTTTAAGTGGAAATATAGATTTGACGTGTTTTTTTTCGGATTATAAATGCGTCTTTTAACGTATTTTTGTTCAGTTTGCGCCAAAATGTTCCTCTTTTCAACTGCATTTCGGTGGTTCAAGGGTTTTGTAATTGAAGTTCAAGTAAAAAACCTGAACGTTAACAATTGGTCTAAAATATGCAAAAACAATTACCTTTTAGCAACTTCAAAAATGTGCACAAGCCAAAGTATTTGGAATTTTGGGATGGGGTTTGCGGCATTCGACTCGGATGAATAGCAGAAAAATGAAGAAATAAAAAAAAAAGAAGGCAAAAATTTGACGATTTTCACTGGTGTGGCCCCCTTAAAGGAACGTGTTTTCGACCCGGTCAGTGCCGGTCAGAAACAGCAATTTTCGCTTTAAGACTCAGTTTACCGGTCAAAATGTTCAAATTTCACGAAAAACCACCCCGAGGTTTAAGACCCTCTGGAGGGTGAACGAGTTGAGCTACGACGGTGGGGGCCCGCGGAATCTGAAGCACCAACGCTTCATTACCAGACCCTTAAAAAATCAGAACTTTCCAATCGCTCATTCTTCGCTGAATCGGTGTGGAACTTCATATCCAGCGAACGGAACCGGCAGGACGGCCACGCACGCTGCAGCTCCCGGAGGTAGGCAGCCCATCGTCCGCCGTGTGTCCCCCTCCCCGCTTTCCCCTTCGATTTTAGCTCTTCCCGAGAGTTGGCGCCGCGCCTAATGTATCGTAATGATTGTTTTCTCGCAAGTGGGTTTGGAGTGAGCTTTTAGAGGTTTTGACGAATTTCGTTGGTGTTATGGAGAAAATCTCCACCATAATATGTTGGTGCACCCTTTCACCGTAAGACAGTGTGGTCTCGAATCTCGTCTCGAATCAAGTGACGCCCGCTCGTGCCAGATGACGACAGAATTATAATCTTCCCAAAACTTTCGCAATTTGAATGGAGATAGCGTTCCGTGTCCTTAGCCAGGAGCGTGTGAGTAAGAGATCAACAACTCCGATTTCTCAATGAAGCAGAAGTGCAGGGCCACCAAACCGCCATTATCATTGATGGAGCGGCTACGTGGGTCTGCTCCCGACGACGTCGAGCCTTGCCGGCGTGATTCTCACGGTGAAGTGGGAGAAAAGGACCGCTTTTGTCATCGATAAAGCTCCTGCGTGGCGCCTCTGTCGAGAGTGTCTGGTCTGAGCCGCGGGGCGCAGCTTCACTCGTCGTCAGTCGCCGATTCCGTAATCATGAAGGAGGCTGTCGTTTTGGTCGTACTGGTCGTTGCCAGCGCGCAGCCGTCGGTTCTACACGTAAGCGAGGTACGTGACAACTTTCTCATTTCCAGGAACATGGCATCACGTTGGAACGAAAGTGACAAGATTGAGCATTGTGTCACACTGTCATAACCTGTGACCCGAATTTACAAACTCAAGTGTGCGTATGGTACACTCAACCTGGAGCCCACATGCATGTACACTCCAGGTTCGCGGGTACTTGCCAAGTACAGGCCAGGTGGCGCAGGAATACTGTTGCTAAAGCTCCCTATTCTTTGCGTGTTGAACCGGGAAGCAGTCGAGGGGGCAACCACTTTGGATGTTTTGACACAAGATTTCTAAAGGTCAAAGATTTCGTCGAATTTCGCGAGATTTTCACCGATATTACGCCCAAAATTAGCTCGTTTTTGGCCTTTCTTGAGGAAAGATTCCATATTTCCCAGATATTTCCAGCGCTAAGGGGACACAAGATTTCTAGAGTGGTTGCCCCCTCGGAAGCAGTAAACCTGCAGGCATGCGCCACCTGGCGTGTACTTGGCAAATACACGCCAACCTGGAGTGCACATGCCAGGTAAGACTTCAGGTGAAGTGTATTTATGTGCACACTTGAGTTTGTAGAGTACGCTAATATATATATTACGCCTCAAATTAATCGGGATCTAGCTTAACACCCCAAAACACACTAAAAATAGGTAAAATCTGGGGAATTGCCGCTAATACGCTGCTACAAGGCGTGCTATTACAGACAGAGTGACTCGACTATTACGCGAGTGCGCACACTGTTAAAAAAGTTATGAATTTTCAAAGCATTTTGATGACAATTTTACGAATACGGATCTGATAATGAATTTTACAAACATTGCAATTTTCATAACTTGATGCGCGAAATTCGAAACAATTTCGTAAAATTGACAATTGTTGGTAATTTTAAAACCATGTTCTGAAAATTGCGAATCTTAAATGTGGATTTTGAGCACCAATAGTAATTTCCGAATCCGATTGTACAATTTCATAACTAGCTCAAGAGGCGTGGCCAAGGGGCGATGAACTAGTCATCAGTAGCTGACCCTCCGCCTCCCGTGGGACGTGGTAGCACAGCGGTAAAGAGCGTGCAGTGCACCCAAGTCAAAGATCCCGGTTTCGAAACCCGCTGATCAAAAGCAGAATCGGTTCAATAAAGGCATAAGGCCGCTTGGTGTTCATATACATGAACCCTTAGTTGTCCTTTTGCTTCACTGCTCTAAAATGACCTCGCAAACGCGAATATGAATTTCATACATGATATGATTTTCATAACGTGATTGTAAAACAATTTACAATCATTTGTGATTTTAATTTTCATAACAATGTTTGTGAAAAAAATGCCAACCAATGTTATGAAAATTAAACTGATTTTTTTAACATTGCACCCCGTCGGTCACTTTCGTTTCGTAAATAACTAATTTGGCTGATTAACTCCAAAAAAGGGAAAACCAATTTTCCGAAACGTGCACCGCCGTTCGTTAACAGATTTTCTTTCTCAAATGGGTAAAACCCGGCCTAAAGACAATGTAGTGGAAAAAGTACCTCACAGTCATGAATGTCTGGTAAATCATGAGGGCTTAATTGTACCGGCTAATGTTTTCGGGCAATAGCCCTGTGGTGCGATTTAATAACCTATCGCACTGTCTGTTCTCATTAGCCAATAGGGAAAAAATAAAACAATGCCCTGCCAACGCATGGGAAGGCATGCACTACAACCTGAAATGTGAACTCAGTAGGCTATGCATCTACAGGTGCATATTATATACAATCTAAGATATATATAAAACTAGGATGAGTACAACCACAGATGCAAACGTTTAGGGGTGAACTGATTCAAGTATGCATCTGTAGATAAGACTTTTCTATCGCTCATTGCTAACGAAAACATGATCTCGTGGAGTCCTGCAAACACAGGGCAGAAACTTGTCCGACCGACTGTCATCTTTCGCTTTTAATAAATCAAGGTGTACAAAAAATTTGGGCCCTTTCCCACAGTTGAGATCCTGGTTAGAGATTCAAACCAAAAATTAAAATTTGAATGCGCAATCACTGCCAAAGGGGGAAAATTTCTTTGAATTTTGGTGTACATGACCGTAAATTTCACACATTTTTTGAAATTTTTTTTGAATTTTCATGAATTTTGACAAATTTTAATAAAATTTTTTGAATATTCCAGATTTTTTTTAAAAATTTTATGAATTTTTTGAACTTGGCTGCAGTTTTTGAATTTCGTGAATTTAAATGAAACTGCTGAGCTCATTACAGATTTCTTGTTTGAAGGTTCCGGCGAAGCTCTCGAATGGAAGCGACGACGCAAACTACCGTCTACCAGACGGCTTCATTTTCGGTGCAGGCTCTTTGAGCTACCAAGTGGAGGGAGCGTGGGACGAAGACGGTAAGGCCTTTTACCTACCAGACGGTTTGCCATCGGTAACTCGATAGAAAAGGGGCACAGTTACACCACATACAGTTTTGACCCGGGGAAATTAAATTTTTTTGGGAACAAGGTTTTTTTAAAAATTTTTTTTGTTTTTTAATTTTTTTTTAAAAAATTTGGGGGGTTTTTTTTTTTAAAAAAAATTTTTTTTTAATTCCCCCCGGGGGAAAAAAAAAAAACCCCCAACCTTTAAAATTTTTTAAATTTAAAACCCCAAAAGCCACCCCCTTTTTTGGGGGGCCCCCTTTTTAAATTTTAAAAAAAAAAAAGGGGGGGGGAAACGGGGTTTGGTTTTTCCCCGGGTTTTGGGCCATGAAATTTAAAAAAAAAAATTTTTTTTTTAAAAAGGGGGAAAAAAAAGGGGGGCCCCCTTTTTTAAAAAATTTTTTTGGGGAAAAAAAAAAAATTTTTTTTTTAAAAAAAAAAAAAACCCCCCCCCCGGGGGGGGGGGGGGCCCCCGTAAAAAAAAAAAATTTTTTTTTTAAAAAATTTGAAAAAAAGGGGGGGGTTTTTTTTTTTTTTGGAAATTTTTTTCCCCCCTTTTTAAAAAAGGGTTTTTTAAAAAACCCCCCAAAAAAAGGGGTTTGGGGCCCGGGGGGGGTAAACCCCGGGAACCCCCCCCCTTTTTTTTTTTTGGGGGGCCCCGGGGGTTTTTTTTGGGGGGGGGGGGAAAGGTTTTTTCCCAAAATTTTTTTTTCCCTTGGGGGGGGCCCCCCCCAAACTTTTTTGGGAAAAGGGGGGGGTTTTTTGGGGGGGGGGGGGCCCCAAAAAAGGGGGGGGGGGGTTTTTTGGGGTTTTTTTTCCCCCCGGGGGGAAAAATTTTTTGGGGGGACCCAAACCCCGGGAACCCCCCAAAAAAAAAAACCCCCCCCCCCAAACCCCCCGGGGGCCCCCCGGGGGTTACCCCCGGGGAAAATTTTCCAAACAAATTCCCGGGCCCGGGGGCCCCCCCCTTTCTTTTAAATTGGCCCCGGGGCCCCAAAAGGCCCCCGGGGGGGGGGGCCCCTTTTTTGGAAAAAAAATTTTTTTTTTTAAAAAACCAAATTAAAAATTTTTTTTAATTTTGGGAAAAATTTTTTTTAAACAAGCCCCCTTTCCTTTGTAAGGCCTAAAATAGTTTGAAAGGGTTTTTTTCCCCCCCCAAAGGGGGGTGTCGGGTAGGTGGCGCTGGCGATTCCAAGTCCTTACTCGACATTACGCTTGTAAGCGCACCCCTCATTCCAGCGTTTGAGCATTGTGTCACATTCGTTTGGCTGTGAATTGGACCAAAAAACAGCTTGTTTACATTCAAACGAACGTGACAATGATCAAACAAACGAACGTGTCACGTTCGTTTCAAGGGGATGTCATGTTCCTGGGAATGAGAGTCCGTGAGACACAGTGGTTCGCACTAACTGGAGTGAGAAATGCCCCAAAAATTTGGTTTCTTGTCAATTTGAAAAAATTTTTTTTTTGATTGAAATTTTGGTTTAAAACAAGTACTTCGTTTTAAAATGGCAAAAAAATTCCCCTGATTTTAAACCCCAAACGCTTTCTGATTTAAAATTTAAAATGTATTTAAAGAGAAAGGGGGGTTTAAAAATTTTCCCGGTTTTTTTCCAATCCCCAATGGGGACCGGGGGGGCCCCGCGGCACGGGAAAACCCCAGGGCCCGCGGGAAATGGGGCCCGGGGGGCGGTTAAAAAGGCCCAAAACCGCTGTTGACCAACAAATTACCTTTTCCCTTTGTTTTTGTTGCAACTGCCTTTTTTTTTTTTTTTTAAGGGGAAAAAAGACCGGGAAAAAATCCCAATATTTAAAGGCTTTTTAAGGGGAAACCTTTTCCTTGGGCCAACCCCAAAATTTTTTGAAACGCCCTTTTAAGGAAAAACCTGGCTAAGAAAAATTTTTGAAAATTTTGAAAAAATTGCATGTTCGCTTTCAAGGCCCCTTTGGTTTTTTCAGGTTTCCCTGGAAATTTTTTAATCCAAAAAACTTTAAGACGAGAAAAAAGGGGAATTCTATTTAACAACCGGTTTGGAAAAACCCCCTAACCTTGTTTAAAAACAAAAATTTTTTTTTCCGGGTTTTTCTCAAGGGTTTTTCCGGGCCCAAAAATCGGTTTTATCTGGCCCCCTTTTCAAAACCGGGGGTTTTTTTTTTTACCCCCCCAAAAACTTTTTGGCCCCGGTTTTTTTGGACCAAACCCCTTTAAAAACCCTTTTTTTTTCCAATTTTCCCCCCTTTAAAGGGGGGAAAGGCCGGGAAATTTTAAAAGGGTTTTTTTTCGGGTTTTTTTTTGAAAAACCCCGGGCCCCCAAAAGGGGTTTTTGGGGTTTTTTTAAAACCCTTGGATTGAGTACTCGGAATACAGTGTCTCTGTGTCGCATTTGTGTCAATGAGAGTCAGCTGCAGATGAGCCTAGCCGACCTGATAAGGTCTCCATTCAAATTGAAACGATTGTGTCATAGCACTCGAACGTCTGCAACGATCCAACGTTCAAAAGGGCATCTTTTTACGTTCCTCCTTGCTTCAGAGTATAGCGTGCCATCTTTCGACCATCCACAGTTCAAATCAAAGTTTTCACCATTCGAGGCTGCATTCGTCTTCCTGGTGTTTATTCGGGCAATCTGATTATAAAATTTCGGTTAAAGCTTTCTTGGAGACATGGGTTATAAAGCTCAACTCATATGAAGAATGTTAGTCATATCGAAATTAATTGCAACGGAATTTGAACTCTTTCACTTTTGTCAGCAGTATCCTCGAAAACATACCAAACATGGCATGAAAATTGAAGCTACAATGTAAGCCGAAATCAAGCGCCTTGCCCCCCTTGGATCTTGGATCTGCATTGCAAAATACGAGTATTGTGTTAGGACTCGTCGATTTAAGACTTTACAAATGTGACATTTCGACATTTCATGAATCAGGTGAAGTGGTGGACTACACTTAACGAACCCCACATATTCGCTACGCTGGTGTATGGCTACGGCATCTTCGCTCCAGGCAAAAGGAGCCCAGGCCGCGACGAGTATCTGACAGTGCACCACATGATTCTGGCTCACGCCAGGGCCTATCGTCTCTACCACAAGCAGTTTGCAGAGCAAGGAGGTTGGTGCTGGGTTCGTCCAGGAGAACTACTTGACCTCACTTTAAAAGTAAATCTCTGAAATTAACGTAAATGCCCATGAGAACAAGTGCTCAAGGAACTGTAGTAAATTGCCGAAGATTCTTGGTAACCTTCGTAGGTTCAGCGCAGTCAGCTATAAATCCCCCATGAACGTACTTCCTACACAAGCAATAATTCCGCACCAAAATCATCAACGAAATAAGTTTTGACATTTTCCAATGAATCGTGCGCAGTCCAATTGAATGAGGGCTTTATTCAATCAATGGTAAACTGGATTCTTGGATTACAGTCCCTTCTCGAACACTCACCTTTTTTCGACTCCTCAACACAAGTTTTAAATTGAGACAAAATCAAGTTTTCTGCGTTATTTTTGTTACGAAAATTAAAAATACGATTTCAAGAAATCCTAGGAGTCACGAAGTCAATATAGTTATTGTGTAGGAGTGTGGAGAAAGGAAAAAAGTTGTGTAAAAGGGATAGGGGGTGGTTTAGGTACGAATGGCAAGGGTACCAATGTGGTCGATGTGCCACCCGTCAAAATTTAAACTTGGCAACAAAAAGAAATCAAATCAAAATGCCGTAAAATTCGAAAAATTCCAATGCTAATGTATTCCACACTGGAACATCTTTGAAGTCAATCATTATTAAAATGTTCGTGGGGGAAAGGAGGTAGTAAATTAACTTTCGCGGGTTGGCAACAATCTTCTCGGCAACTGCGCCCTTGCGAAAATAGCGAAGCCGAAAACACGAGTAGTCGCGCCTTAAAACTGCCCCGCCATTGTTGCTGACGTTGAATTGTTTGGCTTGTTTCAAAAGGCGGTTCTCTAGTCATGTTTTCTTCAATTATGTGTAATAGTTCTCATTCACAACGTAATAACACCACGACGGTTGGTTTGACAAACTTTATAAACTCAGTAGGGATGGTTTCGAATCGCAGGTGAGTCTTGTTCGAGGAACATGAGCACTGAAAGTCGCGAGGTGGAGCGATGTGGTCATCGTGCTAACTGAATGAAAAGAAACATCAAACAAATGTTCCGCGCATGAGCAAAGACATTCCCATTAAAAATTTTCATCAGGCAGTGCCAATGAAAAGACTGCGTCCAAAAAACCCTCTTGTGCTATTGTTACATCTGTTCTATCACGGTCGCGGAAAGTTTTTTATTCGAACGTCCTTTTTCAAAGCAGCGACCGTTTTTGGGGTAACCTGTACACAAGCGAAAAGGAGCCATGCTATTGGTTGGGTTTGGCTCGGCTCCCCTCTCTCTCTTCCCTTTTCGTTGACGAGTCGAGCTTTGCTATGGAAACAGTGATTTTGACGGCAATTTTCTCAAAATTTATCGCTAAGATTTCAACCATATTCCAGAATTGAAATCACGTCTCAGAATTCTACCAGTCTGCAAAATCTCATCAAAATCGTACAGAAAGGTTTCGACTTGCATAAGGGGCCACGCGATCAAATCCCAGCGAGGCTGAATCCTGGGGGATACTATAAGGCTACTTCGTGCCTAAAAAAAGGTCACGGAGTCGAAGTTTTCGACTCCGAGCGTTCGAGAGCAACGAAATTCAGGAGTCAAGTGAGTGGTCATCGGACAGAACAACCTATTTTTAATGGGTTTCCCATGTGACTTACGCCCTTATGCCCAACTGCCACTGAAGTTTCACATCGATTGAAGAAAATCCCGAATCAATTGGCCAGCGCAGTTGCAGTCTTGGAAAATCTCTTAACTAATTTTGCTTCGTCTGCGCACCCTGCTGCACTTGGTGAAACTAATTTTGTCTGCCGCTGCAGGCCGCGTCGGTATTTCGCTGGAGAGCTACTTCGCGCGGCCCAAGACGAGTCGGTACGAGGACATCCAGGCGGCCGAGCGGCGCAACACGTTCGAGCTGGGCTGGGTGGCGGACCCCCTGCTGCGCGGCGACTACCCTCCCCTCATGCGCCGCACCGTGGACGCCAAGTGCGCCGAGGAAGGCCTCCAGGAGTCCAGGCTGCCCAGCTTCACGCAGGCCGAGAAGACGCTCATCAACGGTGCGGAAGCTACACTGTAAAACTTTGTTGTCAGTTCGACGCCTCCTATAAGAATAATCCTTACTGCCAGAGTAGGTTCAAGACAATCCTAACTGTCTGTGTGGATTTAGAACTATCCTAACTGCAGAGGTACCTGAAAGTGTTCGCGAACTATCTTCCCGCTTCAAATGAGTGAATCGCGATTTCTCTGAAATACAATGTCCACGTATTAAAAAATTTATATAAGGATGAAACTTTTTAACAAGTCCTTTGGCAAGTAATTTTATGAAGAATGTGGGCGTCACGGACTTTGAGAAAAGACAGCTTTCCCCGTCATGTGAAAAAGCACTGTTCATGGTATGTTAGTTACATCTGCAGTTGGGATAAATCTGCTCCGTCAGTTAGTATTGTCCTGTATCTGCTCTGGCAGTTAGAATTGTGTTGGATCTGCTCTCACAGTTAGGATTATTCTATTAGGACGCGTCGACTTGTATAAGAAAGTAAATTAGTTTGTACTACGCAGGCTCAAAATACTTCGTAAGGTCCATTTCATGTCTTACGCTTTACGTCTCTAATTGAGATTTCAGCTAAAAACGTGGCCAAAACAACCCTTATGTAGGTATAATTCTAAGAATTTCGGCTATCGCGCTGCCACCGCTCGTGCTGTTACGGACAGACCGATCGGACTACAACTGTGAATTACTTTGCAATAACCACCCCTTAATTTCTGCGACAAAAGAACCTTTTGTAGTAACGTTATTTGGTTTTACTATAATTTTAAAGACAATTTCTTTGTAACCAGTATCGAAAAAAAGTGATACTTCATTGAAAAATTAAGCTATAATTTTCATTGCAGATTTGTAATTTTCATCGCAAAATATTTGGGATAAGTTTCTTTATTGGAAATGACTGTGGCAATTGCAGTTTGACAGAGCTTTCGTCCTCAAAATAGAAAAATAAAACTTTAACCTTGGTGCCCCATAAAACGGACAATGTTGAAAAACGACGAATGTGCTCGTGTTGTAGGAACCCTGGACTTCCTCGGACTGAACGCGTACTTCGGCCTGGATGCCACGGACGGCACCCCAGTGTCTGCTGGAAATCCATCGTACGACCGTGATTCGGGCGTTCTGGCGCTCCACCCCGACGACCCACCGACAGGCGAGCGGCCAGCGTGCACTTATTCGCACGTAACCCAAGGGACAGAAAATTGTCACATTGACGTCAAGTGACTTGAATTTAACCAATTTTTGTCAAGCTCAGATACAGTGACCTCAAGTGATGTCAATTTGACCTGGTACAATCCTATGCAAAACAACTTGAATTACAAGATAAAGTCCAAATTGTTTCAAGTATTTGGTTTAGAGTTAAAGGAACTCAAATGTTGAACAATTTAATAGCTGAGAGAAGATTTAGTCACGATGACCTCTGTTTGATGTCATCTACGAACGCATTAAGGTTGTGTTATTTTAAGCAAATGGCGCGGCAAAATCATCCGCTCAATTTTTTTCTGAACATTCAAACTTTGTCCTGCGTGTTACGATCGCATTTATAATACCTTGATCCGAAAAGTATCTGTATTTTGGTAACTCGCTTAGTACTCATATTATCTGAATATCTAAAATTTTGCACATTTTCAAACTTGGGTTGTCTGACAAGAATTTCCAGGCAAATCATTAAGTTTCACGCTCACTCTAAAATAATATTTATACATTACAGGCCCATACAGGCCTCAAGAATTTCAAACGACCTGCATCTTAGAATACGAGTCACAATTGTGGGGCTACATCGTGGAAGCTCCATCAAGGCTTTGAAGCGTTTGAGCCACGGGCGAAAACATTTCTTATGCCGCCCTCAAAGTAGCGCCTAGCTGGGAGAACAGTGTGGCAAGGTAGAGATAGGCACAGCTACCATGTAGCTTAGTGGCGTAGTGGTAAAGACCTCGCCTACGGAGCCAAGGAGTCGGGTTCGAATCCCGGCTACGGCGCAGCAGCGTTCGCTATTTGACAGAGAAAGCATACAGTAGGTGATATTCACCAAGTCAGGTTTCATCGGAAGGGAGAGTCGGAGTAGGTTGCTAGTCCAAACAAATAATTTTAACACCACTTGACACAATGACATCAATTGACATCAACTTGATGTCAAAATTAACTCAGTCTGATGGTCCAGTATGATGTCATTTTGACGAACATAAATTTGACCTGAGTTTGACATCATGTGACGTCAAAGTGACAATTTTCTGTCCCTTGGGAAGTGTTTTATTTGGGTTGCTGGTACTGGGCCCTTTAAGATCTTACTCATGCTGATTAGGACGGACGTACACTGTCAGGATTGTCTTAGATCTACTCTGGCAGGACTATTATAGAGCCAGGAGGCGTCGATGTGTGTAAAATAACAAGGTAGGTTTACGCCAGACCGCGTCTTGTCGTAACAGGCTTCGCGATGTCTCGCGGCCTGTTCCTCCAATCCGCGCCTGGCGTACTTACCTTGGCCTGCGGCGCTAGCCTGCCTTCGGCAGGCATTGGCTTGTCCATCGTCGGTTACTCCTTACGTGTTGCATGCTGGCGCCCCCCAGACCCCCCTTAATTCTAGGTAGAGTTGCTTCATCTACAGATAACACGATCTTGACCCTTGTATTTTTCTAACTTGTCGAGGCTGGGGGGCTCCGCCCCCCAGATCCTCCTTTCTTCAAGATAGAGGTGATCTACCTGCAGAAAACTCGATTTTTCGCCGTTTTTTTAGGTGTTTTTCGGCTATAAAAACTGAACCAGTTGAGCTAGGATAGTGAGATTTCGCGTGTGCCGAGCCAAGAACATACCTAATAAGCCTGCAAAATCTCAGCCGGATCGGCCGAGCCGTTCAGGAGGAGTAGTGTACACACACACACACACACACAGAGACAAAACTTTTCAACCGCACTGGAGTAACGGGCTTCGCTAAGGACCACACCATTTCGACGCCTCCTAACAAAAATAATCCTAACTGCTAGACTAGATCCAAGACAATCCTTACTGTCAACTATCCTAACTGCAAAGGTACCTAAAAGTGTTCATGAACTAATCTTCAGTGCAAATCATTGAATCGTAATATCCCTAAAACACGATGTCCACATGTTTACGAGGATAGCACGTCCTTCGGCAAGTAATTGTTTGAAGTATGTGGACGTTGTCTCTGAGAAAAGACAGCTTTTCAGGTCATGTGCAGATAGGGAGAATCGACACTGAAAATTAGGATTGTCTTGTGTCCGCTCTGACAGTTACAATTGTTTAGCATCTACTCTCGCAGTTAAGATTATTCTACAAAGGAAGTGTCGATTTGATGCGGGCAAAATGGCATCCATTTGAGCGCATCAGTTGGTGTGATAGACCACGTTTGGTTTTTGGGTGAGGGAGGACCTAACAAGGGTCCAGAGCGCTTTCTAAGTTCGGTCAAAAATTAAAGGATCTTTTTTTTTCCATTCATTATGGGTCCACAATTGAGGACTTCAAATTGGAGGACCTCTTTCCCCTGGGTAACAGTCTACTTGCCTGCACAGGCCACGCCTTGGAGCATCCGTGAGAGTCTCCTATGGCTGAGGGACCGTTACGGCGACATCAGCATCATGGTCACCGAAAACGGGATCGGATCTTACACCGAGGACGGCCTCGACGACCACCACCGTCAAGTTTACTTGAGTGTAAGTAAGGCTAGATACACTTTCAGACCTTCAGTGGTCCAGAATAGTTTCATCTTGTTTGCTCAGTCATAAAATTTTATTTCTAGAAATAAAACCGTAGGAGCGCTTCTCATCCGCACTTCGGCATACAGGACATGAGCCCCGTCCCGTTTGAGCCCCGATGGTCTGAACCCCGACCTGAGCCCCAACCTGAGCCCGGGTTGAGCCCCGACTTAAGCCCCGACCCAAGCCCCAATTTCCAGAGCCCGGATTGAGCCCCGACCTGAGCCCCGTTTGAGCCCCATTTGAGCCCCACTTGAGCCCCATAGCAATAAATTATGCAAAAATGCGTGATTTCAGGTCGCGGGGCTCAAATGGGCTCAAGTGGGCTCAAATGGGGCTCAAACGGGGCTCAGGTCGGGCTCAATCCGGGCTCTGGAAATTGGGGCTTGGGTCGGGGCTTAAGTCGGGGCTCAACCCGGGCTCAGGTTGGGGCTCAGGTCGGGGGTCAGACCATCGGGGCTCAAACGGGACGGGGCTCATGTCCTGTATGCCCGCACTTCCTGCCGACCCCAGCACCGCTCTCTTTTGTTTCCGGACGAACCTCAACTGGTTCGTTACGTAAACATGGCCCCGTTGTCTATGGTCACTAAATGCATTCAGCCACAGAAATAGTCCAGAGTAAATCGTTTTGACTTTTTAAACTTTTCATAGTCTGCATGCATTCCCTGCAAACAATATGTTGTTCCTGCGGATAAATGACAATTATGTAGGTGTCTGTTTTTTCTGCTTCCTGGCCCTTTAGTAACAGCGTGCACGGCATGTAGCGGCGCCTGGGATTCCCAGGCCCACCCTGGAAAAAGAGGTATATTTTTCAGGTGCCGCCTGGGAATCTCAGGCGCTGCTTCTGCCGTGTGGATTATTACCCAGCGTTCTTAGGCAGACCGAACGACCGTAGGAGTATGAGTGAATGTCCCAGGTTGCACTACGTTATCGAATGGCAGGACATAAAACAGAGCACTCTTCCAATTTTCAGGGTTATCTCAGACAGATGCTGCGGGCCATCCATGAAGACAAATGCAATGTGATTGGTTACATTGCGTGGAGCCTGCTCGACTCCTTTGAATGGGAATCATACGAGTAAGTAGCTCAAAGCCGTGGCGAAGCACAATACCGACTCTGCAAATCAAAACGTGATACATCTCACACCCTCTGAGGGGTTAGACATAATTGTTTGACCGAAAAACATACTTAAGTGTATCGCCGCAAGGGTAATATTTCACCCAGGAAAACAAGGGCCAGTCTCGCTGATGTCTGACCGTTTATTCGGTGATAAGTATCGCCCTTTATCGGCGATACATTTGTGTGAGACCTTCCTTTTGATAATGCTTATTGTATCGCCGAAAGTTGAAATGTCTCATTATTTCAATTTCCGTGAACGGGTTGACTGGAGTTTACTCTACAAATCCAAAAGCGCACATTGTACGCTGTACCTGGAGCATGCCTGCAAGCACGCTCTAGCTGGCGCATGCCTGCCAAGCATGCACTTGCTAGTGCATACATGCCAAGAGACAACTCCCTATCCCTTATGCACTAGATGCATGCTTCAGTTGGCGTGTTCTTGGCTTGTATGCACTCGTAAGTGCATGCTTGGCAGGCATGCGCTAGCTAGAGCGTGCTTGCAGGCATGCTCCAGGTAGAGCATACAATGTACGCTTTTGGATTTGAAGAGTACGTTATAAAACAGGTAAACGTGATAAGTTGTTATTGCTGACACAGATGCAACAATTTGGAATCACATTAGCCTCTTAATCGCTAGTTATTGAACGAAACTTCGAAATAAAAGCGATAGAACGAACGAGGGGCAAACAACTTGAATTTGGTGTTAAGTTTCCCGTGAAATAACGCGAGGAACGTTCAAATAACTTGATATAGCGTTGCACTGCAAATCCAAGTGTAGGACAAGTAGAAACTTGTAGGCGTAGACCGCTTTGAAGTGTCGACCACACAGTGTTCAACACCTGCAAGAAGTGTCGACCACAGCATGTCCGACGGCTGGAAGTGTGGGTCCACAACAAGAAATTCCCCATAGTTTGTTGTAGGACGTGTCCTACACATGCATGCGTGAGACACAGTGTAGTTGACTCTTGAAAGCGTCAAACACATCAAGCGTAGGACTTGCAAGCGTAGGACAAATTGGTCTACGCCTCAAGTGTTGACTTGTCTTTCACTTGGATTTGCAGTGTCTGGCGGCAGTGTGAAATACCCTTGAAATAACGTTGAAATAACTTGAATTTGACATAACGGCGTACAAAATTTTTCGAAGTTGTTTGCCCCTTGAACAGTGAAACTCGTAAAAATGCGGCCACCTGGGAAGACTATCGTCCGTTCTTCCATTTTTTAAACTGAAAACTGTCTTTAAACTTTTTGCAGGTACAGGTTCGGCCTCGTGCATGTGGACCACGATTCCCCTAACAAGACTCGCACCCTGAAAACGTCTGCTCAACTCGTCCAGAAGATCATGACCGAGCGCTTCGTGCCCGAAGTACTTTCATCCGGAGCTGGCGACCGCGTTGCCTCCTCCGCAATCGTGTCTGTCTTCCTTGCAGTGTTGATCAAATTGTACCAAATGTAGTGATGGCACTGACTGCAAAGTACACTGTGGGAAAAAAATCACAGTAAATCTTGTAGTGATTAGTACAGCGGTCACTGTAGTTCAGAGTACAGGATTTACTGTACTTTTTTAACAGGATCTACTGTACTTTCTACGGGATTTACTGTACCACAGGAGTGGAGTACGGAATATCCTGTACCAGGTACAGTAGATACTGTAGCCAGGCACGGTAAATCCTGTGTTCTGAACTACAGTAAATCCCGGCAAAAAAATTAACGGGATTCACTGTGGTTTTTTCGCACAGTGTATAGTGAAGGATATCATTTAACATGAACAAATTAGATTACATTTATGGAGGCTCCGTCTTGTTTAAATCCCACATTTTGTACCCTCTTCAGAGATTTCACAGTAGCTGGCCAAGAGGGTCTGAATAACCCTTTCAGGGGACCGCGGTCAAGTCGCGACTAGTTCTTCCAACTAGGCGAGCACTCACTGTCACTTGTGCAAGCATTTCAAAACGTGTTATTGCAGGTTATCCAAACTGTCGATGTCTGAAGAAAATATTGAGAAGGCCTTTAAGCCAAGAATGGTGATGATTGGATGTAATGGAGTGGAGCAGATGCAAATTAAAAGCTTTTTCAAACATGCGGAAATTCGCGCCAGTGGGGTTGGGGTATCCACGTTTCTGCGGACTGACCCATTCCCACCAGTTGGATTTTGACATAACTATCATTGGCAGCTGCTCCGCCCCCTGACGTCTGCTAGACTAACGACATTATTGCGGCTTCAGGTGCTTCGAGAGGTGTTGATCAAAACTAGTCAGTACTCCACAGACACTTTTTTTTGCCCCAAACCATCTAAGCCTCATTTTCCACAAACCGTTAGACATCCTCAGACAAACCCCACTACCTTAAGGTAGTGGGTTCAAAATTGTGGACATGCATCCCCACCGTTAAGAAGGATAAAGAAAGAACGAAAAATAGTATTGCAGCTATGTTTAAGAGCTTTACTCAAGACAGTGTTGTCAATTTAGGGGTTTTGATAGAAACTATTCCTTATAATATGCTTTCAGTAATAATCAAACACTTCAGTTCGCAGCAAATGTCCTTGTACGCCTTCTAAAAGCATGCCTGACATCAAAACAAGCGAAAGTAAGCTCGAGTGGTGTCAAATTTTAAGGGCGTCCGGAATTGCCCCATAGGTCGTCCGGAATTACCCAGGCTGGGGTAATTCCGGACAGGTGCAGGGCTTTTGTTAGGCGCCCATATCTCCCTAACCGTTGCTGAGATTTGG